ATTTGTGTGTGTATATATATAAAATAAAAAAGTAAAAGGACTGTTTGGGAAGAGGAAGGACCCCTGGGCATAGAAAGAAGACAAGAGACAGAAGATAGAGGGTAATGGCGACTGATCAGAGTATATTATACATATGTATAAAAATGCCATAAAGAGCCCTGTCATTTTATACAATGAACATAACATCACTAATTTTTATTTATGTGTGTGTATATATATAAATATATATCCATATATATAATAATAATATGTCCTATGGAGGTGGACGAGGGCACCAGACCCCTGGAGTTGGAGCGATTGGCCCTGGCAAGCTGCTTAATAGGCAAATGTGGTCCTCTACAAGAGCACGCAACTCTCAACTGCCATCTCTCCAGGCCCTACATACAATAATCTTAAAAAGGGAAAAAATTCTATATGTCTATACCTTGGCATTTTCTGAAGCTTAATTTATGGCCTGATACATGATTACATTTCATGAATCCTCTAAGCAGGTTTGAGGAAAACACATATTCTGTAGTTTGATAGTTGCAGAATTTTATAAATGACAATAGATAAAAGATCTTCGGGGACCAGATGTGGTGCCCTTGGGAGGCAGGGACAGGCAGATCTGTGGGCTCCAGGCCAGTCTGCTCTGCAAAGTGACTTCCAGGACAGGTAGAGCTTCCTGAAGAAACCCTGTCTCAAAAAGAAAAAAGGAAAAAAGGTCCTCAGCTTTAAACAGCATTTGAGTGTGTGTTCAGGTGTGTGCATCTGAAGGGCAGAAGAGATCAGATAGTCCTCCTCAGTGTTGTCCACTAATTTTTATTTATTTAGTTTTGAGTCAGAGTCACTCTGCATCTGCGGCTCTCATTTTTTCCTTCGGCTAGACTGGCGCACAGCAATCCTCCTGTCTCCTCCCCTCTTGTATCTGGGGTGCAAGCACGCATTCCTGCCTGGCCTGGTATGTGGGTGCCAGGCTCAGAACTGCAGTCCTTGTGACTGCGCAGCAAGGGCTCTCAACCATGGAGGCTTTCCAGCATTGTCCTCTTCACCCCATTTTTTGAGGTAGAATCTTGTTACATAGCCAAAGGTAGCCTTAAACTTGGGATCTTCCCACTTTCAGGTTGTGGGGTGACCAGCCTATCCCAGCACAGGTGGCTACATAAGGCTCCTCAGTGATGTCAGTCTGTGTTATTGCTCAGTGCGTGTCTATTTTGCCTCCTAGAGGAGTCTCGTTAGGGCCTGCGGCAGCAGCAGCAGCTCAGCGGCTAACGAGAGTGTGCCGCTGGAAGAGGATCCAAGCTCTGCTCCTGGCACCACACTGAGAGGCTCACAGCCAGATCCGGGGGCCTCTCTCGCCTGCTCTGGCCTCTGAGGGCCCCTGCACTTACACGAACATACTCACACACATGCGCATAATCAAAAACCAACAGGAAGAGTTAAATTTTGCCATATATAGGAGCTGTTGCTTTTTTTCTGTTTCCTCACTAGTGTTTGAAGCATTTGAAGGCTTTCAGTAGGCTCAGAAATTTTGTTCTGTTTTGTTTTTGGAGTCAGGGTTTCTCTGTGTAGCCTTGACTGTCCTGGAGCTCACTCTGTAGACCAGGCTGGCTGGAACTGAGGGTTCCATCCTGCCTCTGCCTCCTGAGTGCTGGAATCAAAGGCGTGTGCCACCACTGCCTGGCTAAGGCTCAAGTATTTTAAAAATTTCCTTTTTTTAATATACTGAAACTTTAATCTTTAGATAGTAAACCTCTCTCTATTTCCAGTGATACTAAAATTGACATTTTTTCCCAAAGATGTTCCTATTATGTAAAGGAGTGTTTTGCCTGCATGTATGTCTTTGCTCACCTGTGTGTGCCTGTGTGCCTGTGTGCCGTGCCCACAGAAGCCACACAAGGGTGTCACCTCCTGGGACTGCAGTTACAGAGGGCTGCAGACTGCTATGTGGATGCTGGGAACCCAACCCGAAGCCTCTGCAAAGAACGGCTGGGTGGTCTTAACCTCTGAGCATTCTCTCTTGTCCCTCTAACGTTCACCTGTTTGCTAGTAAGCTCGCTGTATCAGTTTTCTACCACATTGAATACAACTTTTTGATCCCGTTATTCTACATTTTCTTGTCCTTGGGTCTTAAGTGTGTTTTCTTACAAGGTGGCCAAATTGTCATTCACTTCAAGATATTTCTGAGAAGAGGAAATTATCAAAGTGAGTTCCTACAGCAGCCCAGACGACACGGCCAGGTATGCTCCCAGAGCACTGTGAAATGCTCGTGACCCTTTTAAAACATTCCACGAATCTGACACTGTTTAAATCTTTACTTGTTTTATTAACACTTTAATTTATGTACAGTATTCCTGTGTATTTGTAGAGTATCACTCAGATATGCATATGTAACATGTAATGATCAGGTCAGCCATTAACATAGCCACTCTCTCAGGCATACATAATTTCTTAGTACTGGAACATTCAAAATGCTGTAAGTTACTTTGAAATGTTTTTTGTCCACCACAGTTATTCTGTTGCACTAATGGAGCATTATACCATGTTATTTTTCTGTTCAGCTGCACCCTTATCCCTAATAACTATTATCTCCTCACCCCTGCCCCTTCAAGGCTCTGGTAGCCACAGCTTAATTTTTTATTTCTCTGAAAGCAACTTTGTCTTCCACACAAACGAGGACAACAGATATTTGTCTCGTGTGTCTGACTTATTTCTCTCAGCAGAGTACCCCCTCTTCAATCTATGATTCTGCAAATGGCAAAATGTTGGCCTTTAATGTCTGAATGATACTCTATTGTGCTTATAGAGATAGAATAGAGATAGATGATATATAAATTATAGATAAATGATGGGTAGACAGATAAACATAGATGGGTGATAGATATACAGATAGGTGATAAACTGATGATAGACAATACATGATTAATATATATAAATAGATAAATGACAGAGATCAATAGATAGACAGATAGATAAGCAGATTACTTGTGTCATGGTGGCCAAATAACTTAACAGAAACAACTTAAAAGGAAAAAATGTTTATTTTGGCTCAAGGCTTGAGACCGTCCTGCCTAGTGTGGTGGGAAAATGGAGTTCGGGTGGCCGTGATTGATCACACAGCCTTGAACCAGCACAGAGCAGCTAGCTCTAGGGGCGGGGCTAGCGCTGGGGGCGGGACTAGCTCTAGGGGCGGGACTAGCTCTAGGCGCGGGGCTACAGCCTTCACCTGTCTGAGCTGAGAGAGTTTATGGCACCAGCCTGACCCAGCCAACTCTTGAAGGCTCCACAGTCCCCCAAAACAACACAACCTTTTACCTGGTAACAATGTGTTATGAGTCCTTATCCCAGTCTGGATACTGAATCCGCTTTGTGTTTCTGCTTCCCTTGACTTTTTGAGGAATTAAAATTTTTTTTCCTTTAGTTTCTATTTTTCCACTTACTGAAGGAACTGTTAAAACTGTACTGTGCAAGGGTAGCTTCAAAGCCTTCATCCTTGTCCTGCATCCTTTCTCAGCCACAAAAAGCTCTGAAAATATCTGTCCTTTCACCTCCCAACACACACACACACACACACGCTACTCTCAGAGGCCAGAAGAGGTCATTGGATCCCTTGGAGCTAGAATTCTAGATAGTTGTGAGCTGATGTGAGTGCTGGGAACTGAACGCCAGGCCTCTGCAGAAGCAGCGTGAGCTCTGAACATCTAGCCGTGTCTTCAGCCTCACTACCTTCTTTGTCTCCACTCCTTAGTCTGCTGGTCCCCTTATTACTTCAAACAATCCATAGCTGAAGTTCTTTTACAGGCTTGTCATTTTGATGACCTGTGTTTGCATTTTACCCTGCCCGCTGAGACCTTTTGGAAGTTTCATCGGGTCAGGCATCTTGCCTCTCTGCTCTCAGTTCCTGGTTCTTCAGACACCTCTTCCGGGCTCAGTTTCTCTGGGCTCCGGCACCTGCCTCTCCTCTAGCATTCTTCCTGTCACCGGACTCCCAAGGCTTAGTTACAGCATGTCTCCCCACAACTTCCCTGCCTTGTGCTTGAGAGAAGTGTTAGGTTTCTTGGAAGTATTGATATATGCTTTTGGAGTTTGAGAAAATGTTTTTTTTTCTATATATTTATTGCCTTTTCCATTTGTCTTTAGTTTCTGTTTGGACCTGTGCCCTCTTCTACCTACCAAGTCTTTTTTTTTACCACATCTCTGCTACACATTCCTGCTCCCTAACTCTCTGTACTGAATCTGTCTAATTTTCCTCTCCAAATTTTTATTTCAAACAATGTTTTACCCCTTCTTATAGTAAGCTGAGAAACTTACCTTCTGTGTCTGTGAGTTTTCTGGTTGTCTCAGACCAGAATCTTGGTTTGGCGTTGGTCTTGGAAAATCTTGCAGATTCAGTTTGCAGAAAGTTTCCACAGAAAAAGTAGCCAAAGAGTTCCTGACTCTTTAATGCTGCCTGAGGGGCCTTTGGCCCAGAACACAGTATTCGGCTGCTTCTGTTTCTTGCCGCCGCCCTGGGTACTGCTTATGGTCCTCCTGCTCTCACCTGCTGCACCGCTTCGGCTCCATGATGCTGTCTGTCTCCGACTCCTTCCACATTCCAGCCCTGGCTTCTCAGCTTCATGGATAAGGCTTCAAGCCACGCCCATTGGCCCACGTGCCCCTCCCCAGCCAGTGGTTATTTTACTTCCCTATTTGTTGACTTGTTTGAAGGAGGGGTCCCTGGAGTCCTCGGCTACCTTTGAAGTCCCAGGGATGCTTCAAGTGTGTGAGTGCCTTGTTGTGAGGAAGCTGCCAGAGAGCTCCTGACCTCTAAGACATCCAAAAGGTCCACTGCACTAAAACTACGATGGCTGGGCCAGAAGGAATGAATTGAACAAACTAGTGGACTTTAGAAGGAAAGGAAGGGGCCATGAACTCCACATTGATCCAAGGCAGAGGGTGTTTTCTGTCCATTGGTTCCCATCCTGGGATCTGATGGAGGGAAACGGTGACAGGGGACTGAACTGCATCTTTTCTCTGAACAGATGGAAGAGGAACAGGACATCAAGCCTGTGCCCTCATCCCAGAGTTCTAAGAACACACAGCAGCACGACACCCGCCATTCTTCCCAGGGCTGGTCCTTGGATATGCTGTTACGCAGATTGAAGGCCGTCGATGCCAAGAGGGATGACAAGCTGGCCAGCATTCTGGATGCCGTGGGGGTGTTTGGCACATTCCAATGGAGGCTGGTGGCTCTCACCTTCATCCCCAGCATGCTGTCAACCTTCTTCCTGCTTTCTGATTACTTCATGGTGACAGCCCAGACGCCCTATTGTAACACCAGCTGGATCCTGGCAGTGGGCCCTAATCTCTCCGAGGCTGAGCAGCTGAACCTCACCGTGCCCCGAGCACCCAATGGCAGTTTCCTGACATGCCTCAGTTACATACCTGTGTCATGGGATCTAGACTCGATCATCCATTTTGGTCTCAATTACACCGAAAAATGCAAAAACGGGTGGATTTATCCTTACGCCACGAGGCGCTCTCTCATCAATGAGGTAGGCCTCTGTCCTGTGTCTGTGTATCACACAAGAGGTGGCAGAGACAGGTAGCGATTGGCCTTGAGCACCCTCTGCAGGAGCGCACCGGGGGAGGAAACTAGGGTTCTTGATCCCCATCCCTGGGCCCTGCCTTTCTTAGCACTCTAGGAAGCTAGAGTGCATTTTGGCTTAGAGCCAGGCTTGCCACCTGTCCAGAGAACTGCTGTTCAGGTTGTGGCTCTTGTCTTCTGTTCTAGGGAAGACCCTAACGCTGAGGCACCTGGGGGATGGGCCAACAAGCCGCTGTATGTAACCCTTGTCCAGCATCTTGCAGACCTGGGCTGAGGCAGCAGAGTCTTGGGATGTGGGACATGGGTCAGCAGGCGACCACAGAAAGAATGCATAGATGTCAGAGATGGACGAAAGAAAGCGCGTGGTGGGCATGTCTCACAGGGCTTCGTACCCTGAGTGGAGGTTTCTGCCTTTTCCAGCATGGATCTGTCCACGGGAAGCCGTATGGACAGCAGGATCAATATTTGTGGCTGTGCTTAATAAGCTCTCAACCCACGTCTCTGCCTCCTTTCTCCAGGTTTTGCTTCAAGGCCTACCCGGTGTTGGAGAAGGTCCCTGGGGTGACAGAATGAGATACTTTACATAAAACTCCCTTCCCCTGGGTGCCATCTGCCTAAGGCGGCAGTTCTCAAGCTGTGGGTCAGGACCCTGCACAGGGTTTGCATATCAGGTGTCCTGCCTATCAGATATTTATGTTCCAATCTGTAACACTAGCGAAATGACAGTTATGACGTAGCAACAAGATAACTTTATGTTTGCGGTCACCACAACACAAAAACTGTATAAAGAGTCCGTCCCAGCACTAGGAAGGATGAGAACTGCTGGTCTGGGCCACACTCAGTCTCTGTCCCCCAAAGGCAGGCTCTGTGTGGAGGCTGGATCCGTGCTTTTGTCTCGCCTGCAGTTTGACCTGGTGTGCGGCAGTGAACCAAACATCGAAAACATGCAGACTGTCTTCCTGGCAGGCGTCCTGACAGGCTCTCTCCTCTTTGGGTTCCTAAGTGACAAGTGAGTCTCCTGGAGTTCCTGCTGACCCCTGGGGCGCTCTGCCTCCTCCTTGGGCATTCAGAGTCTCAAGCTAGGGGAGGAAAATGTGGGGATGCTTCAAAACCCAGGGGCAATGCAGGGCCTGGCCCAGGTGCACAACCATGGCTGGCCAGGGGGGTGCGGCCCTTGGTGGCATCTCCTCCTCACACCCACAGGCTGGGGCGCTACCCAACTATCCTGATGTCGCTTCTGGGACTCCTCATCTTTGGCTTTGGAACAGCCTTTGTGAACAGCTTTTACCAGTACCTTTTCTTCCGCTTCATTGTGGCCCAGGCGACCGTGGGCTATGTTATCTGCAGTGTCTCTCTAGGTAACTGGGTCTGGAGGGGCAACATGGGATGGAAACGGATACAACTTAAGAAGGACCAGGAGGCAGTTCGACCCGAGATGGACAGGCTAACATCAACCTATAGGGGAGGCAGCAGGCCACAGAGCTTAGTGGGGAAGGAGTGAGCAGCACCGTTCCCGGCTGTCTGAAGCCGCAAGGGAATCAGAGCGGAGTGCCAGCCCTTGCCCTCCCGAGGAGTCTCCTGTGCCCTGCATGCTCCCCTTCATGCTCCTCCTGTACCTTGAGCCCTGGCTGTGCTTTGCTCATTTCATCCTGAGCCTCAGAGAAGTTAGCCAACTTGTCCAGGGCCACACAGCAAGAAGGAGCTAGGGTCTCTTCTCAGGCCTGGGTAATGCTAGCACCTCCAACTCATATACACTCAGACCTAGAACCAAATGCCTGCAGTCCCCCATTTTCTCGGAGCTCTCTGACTCTCCTTCCTCTCAGTGAGAACCTGCCAGAGCACAGCCTTAGGCCACTGAGGTCAAAGTACCCCAAGACAAGTGGTTCCTTGTTTCAGCACATGTCAGACCACGAAAGATGCCCTGCGCAGGCCTCTCCTATGAGAGGCACTTGTTAGGCAGAAGTTTCAAGGGAGTGTCTGAGAGTAAAAAAGAAGGGAGGGTGTGTGTGGCTGAAGATAAAGGTAGGGCATCGGGGACAGCAGGAACCACTTAGAAGCAAGAGGTGTCTGAGGAAGCTCTGTCTACTCCGAACTGTGGAGAGCAGGGATCAGGCACATCAGCAGGCTGTGTGGAAGGCCAGCCCGGGGACTGTGAGCTGACCGCAGATTTCTTCCCACGTTCCCTGCACAGTTATGGAGTGGCTGGTGGACGAGCACCGGGCCCAAGCCGTCATTCTGCAGCACTGCTTCTTCACCATAGGGATCTTGTTCCTGTCGGGGTCCGCCTTCAAAATTGCCCACTGGAGGCTGCTCTTCCTGGTGGGTGGCACGCCTATGTTTCCCCTCATCTGCAACGTTTGGTGAGCAAGCCCGTTCCGGGCACACAAAGGGTGGGTCTCAGAGGTGGAGATGGAGGGGGGAACAGAGTGGGTGGGAGATGCGCGGCGTGAGAAGGAGCCACAGGTGTTCACCACCTCAGGGAAGAACCTGCAGGCGATGTCAGGGAGGTTCAGAAGAGCAGTAGGACTGACAGAGGTCCAAGGAAAGCAAAGGCCAGGGTTGAAGAGATGAGACTCAAACTTTTGGGGTGTCCTGGTCACCTTCTCGAGGTGAGGTCACTGGCGGAGAACCGGAAGCATGACCCATGAGTTGAAGCTGAGAAAGTGGAGTCCCCCAGGATCGCCCTTAGGGGAAAAGAGAAAGGAGCGTCTGCGGTCAGCCGAGGTGTGGTCAAGATATTTGCCATTTCTAAACTTAGGGAGCCACAGCCAGGAGTCTAAGAGGTGTGAGTTCTGAAGGCACAGCTCACGTGGGGAACCTTGGAGGAACAAGGCGGGAACAGCAGTGTCTGAGGAGAGAGGAGGCAAGGCTGAGGAGTTATGAGGGGGAAATGGAATTAAAGTCTCAGCATGCTCACCTTTCCCTTCTCCAACTCTCATGGGATCGGGAGGCAGAACAAGGGGTCCAGAGGGTGGAGCTAATGTACATGGGAAACATGGGTGAGGAGCTGGGGACCTGGGATTTGTACCCCAGCCTGCCTGGCTTTTTAAGCTCCCCGCGCCATACAGCAGGCACGTGCAAGAGGTGAAGTGACAGTTAGAACCGGGGTGGGAGTGGCCTGAGCCTTTCCAGCTCTGCAGAAAGCTGGGAGCAGCCTTGACAGTCCCCTGTCCCAGGGAGCGCGAGGGGCAGGTGGCTTGTGTCTGTCGTGTGTCCGGGAGAGCTTGACTGTAAGGAAATTTTTAAATGTAATTAATATGGGGATGGAAAGATGGAGGCGGTGGCTAAGTCGCCTGCCGTGCCAATGTGAGGACCTAAGTTTGGCCCCCAGCATCCATACGAAAAGCCAAGTGTTGGGATTGTACGCTTTTAAGCTTAGCACTGGGGAGACAAAGGCAGGAGGATTCCTGCAGCTCGATGCTCAGCCAATCCAGCATAATTGGTTAGTCCCAGGTCCCGGGTAGAGACCATTTCAAAAATTAAACTGGCTGGTTCCTGAGGCCCCAGCTTCTACATGTATGCACACACATTGCCACACATATAACCTGTGTACATGTGTATCTGCACACACATGAACAACCTCAACGCAAGTGTTACTAACACGGTATATAGTGCTAAAAAAAAAAAAAAAAAAAAAAAAAAAGGCCAGAAGGTTTCTGGTGACAAGTTCCCAGTTTCTTCTTTTTCAGCCTCTGGTTCTTTTCCCAGAATTCCTCTCAGAGTTCTTCCTCCTTCCTCCCGACTGTTGTGCATGCTTAAGAGTCATGCTGTCATTAGTGGAGCACAATTTTCTTCAGACACATCCCTTCAGCTAATCCTGCCCTGATAACTGACGATATCTTGCAAAGATCCCATCTCTTTCTGGCCACTCTTATTTGTAATAAATCTCATCTTGATGTCTAAGGATAGGAGCTGAGGCTGTACTTCAGTCCTGGAGAGTTTGTCTAGCATATGCGAGACTCCAGGTTCCATCACTGCGCTGGGAAAACAGTGGTTTCGGCATCGGCAGGCCTTGGTGGCATCTAAAGACCTGCACTCTTAACATTGTTAATGGTGATTCTGGGTCGCTGGCCACACTGTGGGACCAACTCTGTTGGGTGGTCATTTCCCCCACCCCGCCCCCACCCCCAAAGATCCCAAAGCCAAGTTCTACCTCTCAGACTCTCCAGTGAGTCTAGGGGCTGGAATTCTGGCCTTTAAAAAAAAAAGGCCCTTTTAACAATTATAATTACATTATTTCCTCTTCCCTGTTTTCTTGTCACTGTTTAAAGAACTTCCTCTATGTTCTCAGGTACTTCTGTAGTGGGGAACTTATAAGTGGCTGGTTTTTCCTTTTTTTTTTCTTCATTAATTTATTTAATCACCTGACAGCCTGATTGCAGCCCTCTTCCTCCTCTCCTCCCAGTCCCACCCTCACATCACCTCCTCTCATAACTCCCTTCTCTTTCTCCTCAGTGAAGGGGAGGCCGCCATGGGTACAAACCCACTCTGGCACATCGAGTCACAGCAGGACTAAGCACATTCTTTCCCACTGAGAACAGATGAGGCAGTCCAGCTATGGGGAAGGCATTCCAGGGCAGCCACAGAGTCAGAGACAGCCCTGCTCCCATTGTTAGGGGACTCACATGATGACCAAGCTGCACACCTGCTACATATGTGTGGGGGCCTAGGTCCAGTTCATGCCCCCATGAACTGTTAGTTGATTCTGTAGGTCTTCCTGTGGGGTCCTTGACCCCTCTGGCTCCCTCAATCCTTCCCTCCACTCTTCCACAAGACTCCCTGAGCTCCACCTATTGCTTGGCTGTGGGTCTCTGCGTCTATCTCCACCAGCTGCTGGATGAAGCCTCTCAGAAGACAGTTATGCTCGGCTCCTGTCTGCAAGTGTAGCAGAGTGTCATTAAAGCGACAGGAGCTGGCTCTCTCCCATGCGGTGGGTCTTAAGTTGTGCCAGTCATTGATTTGCCATTCTATCAATATCTGCTCCATCTTTATCCCTACAATTCTTGTAGGCAAGACAAATTTTGGGACAAAGGTTTTGTGGATGAGTTGGTGACCCCTTTCTTCATTGGAAGTCCCTCCTGGCTACAGGAGGTGGCCATTTCAGGCTCCATAGCCACCACTGCTAGGAGTCTCAGCCAGGTCACTCTCATAGGCTCTCAGGAGCCTCTCCCCTCCCAGGAATGCACCCACTAATTTCTGATCTCTCTCCCAGTACTCTCCTGAGCCCTCCGCTCCCTACACTTGATCCCCACACCCTGTTTCCCTCTCCACCCCCTTTCCCACCCAGTTTCCTTTCTCCGTCTACTTCAGATGTCTATTTTATTTCACATTCTAAGTGAGATTCACGCTTCCTCCCTTGGGTCCTCCTTGTTACCCAGCTTCTTTGGGTCTGTGAATTATTGTGGCTATCCTGCACTACATGGCTAATAATTCCTTATGAGTGCACGCCTTGTGTGTCTTTCTGGGCTTGGGTCACCTCACTCAGGATGATCTTTTCTAGTTCCATCCATTTCCTGCAAACTTCATGATGTCTTTATTTATAATAGCTGAGGAGTATTACATTGTGTCAATGTACCACCATTTTTTATCCACTCTTCAGCTGAGGGCTATCTAGGCTATTCCCAGTTTCTGGCTATTATGAATAAAGTTGATATGAACATAGTTGAGCAAGTATCCTTGTGGTATGGTGGAGCATCTTTTGGGTAGATGCCCAAGAGTGGTATAGCTGGGTCTTGAAGTATAACTATTCCCAGTTTTCTGAGAAAGCAACAAATTGGTTTCCAAAGTGTATAAGTTTACATTCCCACCAGCAATGGGGGACTATTCCCCTTGTTCCACATCCTCTCCAGCATGTGCTGTCACTTGAGTATTTGATCTTAGCCATTCTGACAGATATAAGATGGAATCGCAGAGTCATTTTTATTTGCATTTCTCTGATGGCTATGGAGGTTGAACATTTCTTTATGTTCTTCTCAACCATTAGAGATTCCTATGTTGAGGATTCTCTGTTTAACTCTGTACTCCATTTTTTAAATTTGTTGGTTTGTTGGTGTCTAATTTCTTGAGTTCATTATATATTTTGGACATTAGTCAGATGTAGGGTTGGTGAAGATCTTTTCACATTCTGTAGGCTGCCATTTTGTCCTATTGACAGTGTCCTTGGCCTTACAGAAGCTTTTCATTTTCATGAGGTCCCATTTGTTAATTGTTGATCTTAGTGCCTGAGCTGTTGGTGTTCTGTTCAGGAGGCTGAAGTTGAAGATGCTTTCTTTATTCTATTTTATGGTTTTGGCATCTTTGTAAAAAAAAAATAAAGTGTCTGTGGTGTGTGGGTTTATTTTGGTGTCTTCAGTTTTATTCCATTGTTCAACCTGTTTGTTTTTATGTCAATACCATGTGGCTTTTATTACTGTTGCTCTGTAGTTCAGCTTGAAATCAGGAATGGTGATATCTCCAGAAGTTCTTTGATTGTACAGTATTGTTTTAGCCATCTTGGATTTTTAATTTTTCCATATAAAATTGAGAATTGCTCTTTCAAGGTTGGTAAAGAATTGTGTTGGAATTTTGATGAGAATTGCATTGAATATGTGTATTGTTTTTTGTTAGATGGATTTTTTTTTTCCTTTGTCAATCCTACCGATTCGTGAGCATGGAAGATTTTTTCCATCTTCCTATATCTACTTCAATTTCTTTCTTCAAAGACTTGAAGTTCTTGTCATACAGGTCTTTCACATGCTTGGTTAGAGTCACACCAAGATATTTTATATTATATTATTTATGGATATTGTGACAGGTGTTGTTTCCCTAATTTCTTTTTCAGCCTGTTTATTGCTTATATATAAGAGGCTATTGATTTTTATTTTTATTTTTTTTTAGTTTGTATCCAGACACTTTGCTAAAGGTGTTTATCAGGTGTAGGAGTTTTCTGGTAGAATATCATATTATTTGTGAATAGCAATACTTTGACTTCTTCCTTCCAAATTTTCCTCCCCTTGATATCCTCTGGTTGTCTTATTGCTGTAGCCAGAACTTCATGTACTGTATTGAACAGATATGGATAGGGTGAGCAGCCTTGTCCTTTCCCTGATTTTAGTGGGATTGTTTTAGGTTTCTCTCCATTTAATTTGATGTTGGCTATAGGCTTGCTATATATTGCCTTTATTGTGTTTAGGTATGCACCTTGTATTCCTGATCTCTCCAAGACTTTTAACATGGAGTGTTGGATTGTGTCAAAGGCTTTTTCAGAATCTAATGAGAGGATCATGTGGGTTTTTTTTTTCTTTCAGTTTGTTTATATAGTGGGTTACATCGATGGATTTTCATATATTGAACCATCGCTGCATCCCTGGGATGAAGCCTACTTGATCATGGTAGATGATGTTTTTGATATGTTTTTTTGATTCAGTTTACAAGTATCAATGTTCATGAGAAAAACTGGTCTGAAATTCTTTTTCTTTGTTGTGTCTTTGTGCGGTTTAGGTATCAGGGTGACTGTGGCCTCATAGAATGAGTTTAGCAATGTTCCTTCTGTTGCTGTTTTGTGAAATAGTTTGAAGAGTATTGGTATTTGTTCTTCTCTGAGTGTGGCATCAAGTCCAGGTTGGAGGTAGTTGGTTGCCTCTGTAACTGCTGTGCCATGCCGATAAACAGGGCTCAGAGCATGTGGTACTTTCAGCATTAGAGACTAACCATCCTGTTTTGGTATGCATATGGTAGAGTTAATAGCCTTTATGGTTTATGAGGCTTCAGAGACCTCCCTGGGCAGAGCAGTGGCACACCCTTCTGTATTTAAGGTTGGGACAACTCGCAGAACTATCTTCTATCTCCTCATTAGCCTATCCTTCCCTTTAGTTTCAACGTTCTGAATCTCAGAAGGGGCTTTTCAGTAAAGATTTCATTTGTAATCTTTCCCTTATGATGTCTCAAGACATTAAACAGCAATAACAAAATGCCAAGCCAGCATTTCCATCTACCTTCCCCCTTGTTTAATTTACCTGCCAAATCATGGTCTTTTGTAAAGGACAACACTCACACATGTCCTCGCCTTTGTAGCACCTCCATTTGTGATAGGCAGGTTCCCTGTAAGCAGGCAGCTTTGTCTTGTGACCCATAGCAACAGACATGCAACTGCCTCCATGTTCCAACGGCTCTTGTGTGTATGTGCTACTTTCAGGGATTACATGTTTTCTAGTCCATTAGCCTCTTGGGAGACATCTCTGTGTGCATTTGGTAGACCGCATTTACCAAGGAAGAAATGCAGCCCGTACCACATGGAGCAAGATGGCCATCCCAGAATTTCTTCCAAGAATGTTATACCTGAGTCATCTTTGCTGTTTTTGTAAAATGTGTGTGTGTGTGTGTGTGTGTGTGCGCGCGCGCGTGCACGCGCACACACACGCATTTCCATGTGTGAAGGTATCTACAGAAGGTAGAAAGAAAGGCAGATGCCCTGGAGTTGGAGCTACAGGGTATTGTGGGCCACCTGAGGTGGGCTCTCGAAGCTGAACCTGAGTCCTCGGTCAAAGCAGTATACCCTTTTACCCCCTGAACCATCTCTACAGCCCTCTAATGTTTGTTGCTGTTTTCTTTTATTGAAAATTGATTTTTTCTCACATAATATATGCTTTTTAAAAAAACCAAGTCTTGCTTTGTAGTCTAAACTGGCCAACTTCTCGTATGCAGTCTAGACTGACCCCAAATTTGCAACACTCCTCCTGTCTCAGTCTTCCAAATGCTGTGTTTCCAGGCGTATACCGCCATGCCCACCTCCCATCTTTGCTTCCTTCAAGTCCCTGTGGCACAAGAGCCAACTACTGTATACTTTCCCTAGAGCTATAAGATATTAATTCACCCCCAGGTATGAGAAGACCAGCAAACCAAAGATTCATCAAGTCTAGTTTGGCGAATACATGAGCTTATTGCCATTCTTTACACTCTCAGAGGCAGGCCTCTTGTAGACAGGTGCTTTACCAAGTACCCAAGCCCTTGGTCAGTTTTTAAAAAATGTCACATCTTTTACATGCCTCAGCATTTCTCAGACCCCTCTGCTGTAAAGCAGTGGGTAGAAGGGAGCAGTACTGGAACATTTAACAACCTATTGCCACTTTCAGGGTTAACTGTTGCAGGCTTCGTTCTTTTCATCTTGTTGCTACAATTGCGTGCCAAGCATGCTTGCGCAGCATTGCCATAGCTGTACAGCTTCATGGTCATGCCAAGCCTGAAGGAAATAGCTACACTCTAGTTCTCACAGAGTGGGCATGAAGGTTGATGCTCAGGCATGCCCTTGAGCTAGGAAAGAAGAGCTTAGAGGTGATTAGAGGTAGTGAAAGAGAGCACAGGGCAAATGGACCAAGTGGCTGAGTACTACCTCTGAGCAGCAGTGCAGGCTGTGGGATCGAGGTGAGACGGGTTGGCTGCCATGCTGGAGCAGAGGCCATCTTGAGGTTGGTGGTACCCTTCAGGGTCCCTTGGGCACATGCTGATATGGATGGCCACAGGTGAGGCATCTCAGCTGGAGAGCCACTGGTCTCTGGGGAATCCCGGAATTTTGGGGTAAGACAGAGATGGATCACACAGGGTTCTCCGAGAATCCCCACGGTGGCTGATGGTGAAAGGGAAGGTGGAAGAGGCCAAGGAGGTGTTGTGCTATGCAGCTAAGGTGAACAAGAAGACCATTCCTTCAAATCTACTGAACGAGGTAAGGGACCAGGCCAGAGTGAGGCTAGGGCTGGAGACCGTGGAAAACTCTTCCCTTACCCTTTCAGTGGGACCTCAGTCTACTGCTTCAGAATGATGACAACAAAACTAAGCCTTGCCAGGGCAAGGTTGGGAAGTGTCTGGCCCTGGGGGGAGGCACAGGCCTCGCTCTGTGCATGTGGGCAGAGAACAAGCTTGGGATCTCTCTGCTCTGGCTGGTCTTGCTGTCCTGTAGCTGCAGCTGAAGGGAAAGGTGAAGAAGGCCTCCATTCTGGACTTCTACACCAACCAGAACCTCTTCCGGGTGGTCTTGGCCATGGCCTGCTCATGGTGAGTATCTGGGGGTGGCATGGAGTTTGTGTCTTCCAGTCTTTGTGTTCTTCCTGCCTGACACCTCTTTGCCTATGGCCTCAACCCTGCCACCCAATCCTCCCTCCCTCCTCTCCCCCTCCTCTTCTTTCTCTTCCCTCCTCTTCCTCTTCTCTTGTCTCTCCTCCCCTCTCTGTTCCTTCTTCCTTCTCTCCATCCTCCTCCTCCTCTCTCTCCCTTGCTCTCCCATGGTTTTACCCCAGGTTTACTGTCAGTTACATCTACTTCACACTGAGCCTCAAGATGAAAGATTCTGGGGTCGACCTGTACTACAGACAAGTGATACCCAGCATTATGGAGATGCCAGCCCGGCTGTGTTGCATTGTTTTATTGGAGAATTTTGGCAGGAAGTGGAGCCTATACCTGAGTCTCATCCTAGCTACCATTGCGTGTGTGTTTCTCCTTTTCCTCCCTCAAGGTACAGCATGCAAGGAAGGCAGTCTCCAGACCTCTCACTTCTTCAAGGCTTTCCTAGCTTCTCTGGTCTTGGCCAGCCAGCTAAGCATGCAGGAACTGGCTTCTTGCATATGCTATCTGTCCTCCCTTAGGGCCCAGCCCCTAAGTCATACCACATTCAGAGACCTGAGAGAGGAACTCATGCCAAAAAAAAAAAAAAAAAAAAAAAACAACTATCCTTGAGTGTGAGGGCTGACAGCCTCTGCGACCCTATTCCAAACCTCACCAGAAGCAGGTCTAGTGGCTAAATGAGAGGAAATGGTGACAAAACTCTTTTCTAAAAAAATGTGCTCTCTAGGCCTTGCCTCTCACCTGCAGCCTTTGATTAGCAAGTATTCACTGTTTTCGGTGCCATTTATGATAATGTAGTCATTGAAAATTGGTATAGTAGTGACCTGGACCTGTGGCTATAGTGCTCAGAGGCCTTTCTCAGGGACTCACTGCCTGGATCCTGGTACTCAGCATTATTTCAGCATTCCAAAGATCCCTGGGCAATGAACAGTGCGTAGGCTGGAGTGCACAGAGCCATGGCCCAGCCATGACCAGTGCCCACTAAGGAAGGCTACAATGCACATCCACCCGAAGGAGTCCCCTTCTTCCTCCTGATGTGGCCCTCAGCACCTCCCAGGTGCTCATAGATACTAAGTCGCTACGACAAAGCGAAGAAGTTTTTCTGGGCTCCTGCAGCTCGCCGCCCATCGCCGGCGCTGTTGCTGTTGTAAAGCAGAGCACGAATCAAGCCGACATGTCTACAGATCTCACATGTGGGCAAGAAACTGGGAGATAAAAGGCCTGAGGGTTGTCGACATAGCTCAGTTGGTGGAGGGATTGCTGCATACCCAGGAGAACCTGGCTTTGGGTTCCCTGCACTCATGTAAAAATCCCAGCAGGACAGCACACACCACAGAGTGCATCGTGGGGCGAAAGAGGCAGGGGGATCTCTGGGTTTTGCTGCCCGGTCACTGCTGAATCAGTGAGTTCCTGGTTCAGTGAGACCCCCCCCCCCCAAAAAAAAAAAAAAGGGTTTGGCCAGCCCCAAGCCCTGTCCAAGTTCAGGACTGTCTGGATCCATGCAGATCAACTCTCCTCTGGATGAATGTGTGAGTCTGTTGGCTAGGTGACCAAATGAGGGGTGTGCCAGCCTTTGATGAGGGGCTGAGAGAAGGCTGGAGGGCCCTGAAGGTGGGGTGGTCCAAGACTCAGGGCTGTGCTGTCTTCACTCAGAGCTCAAGTCAACGATAATCCTGGTGCTCGTGCTGGGAGAGTTTAGCCTGGCCGCCACCATCACCGTGTTCTTCATCTATACTGCCGAACTCCTCCCCACTGTCCTCAGGTACGAGTCTGCTGGGCCAGTGGGGAACGGCGGGATGGGACAGTGACAGACTGAGCACTTGATTTGCCAGGAAGCAACTATAGCGTTGAACATGGTTTGCCTGGATTGTATCACTCAACTCTCCCCAACAGACAAAAAAGACAAACCCCAGATGCCATGGCTGGCCCTTTTTCAGTTGACAAAGTTGAAGGCATGGAAAGCTCTTGCTCTAGGCCATACATAGCAAGCAGCAGAGTTGAAGTTTAGACTAAGGAACAGCTTAGTTTCTTTTCCCGTCACTGTGATGAAATACCGTGACAAGAGCGACTTCAGGGAAAAGGAGTTTATCCTGCTTGCGGTTGAAGGGAGCAGATGATCATGGGGCAGCTGCAGAAGGATTTGATTCAGCTGACCGCGCCACACCACAGTCAGGACTCGGCAGTGTGCGCATGCGCTGCTCACTGTCCTTCTCCGCTTGCACAGTCGAGGGTCCCGGCCGAGGGAACGGTGGCCCCACACTGGGAGAGCCTTCCCATGTCAGTTAACCTGACCCCTTACCATCATGTTTAGAGGCCAGCCTCCCAGGTGCTTCTAGATTTTGTCAGGTTGACAAAGAATAAGAACCAAAACACAGGGTCTGACTCCAGTCTCTGCCCTGCACCATGCCCAGGTTTGCTTTCTATTGCTGTGATAGGCAGCATGAATCACAGCAACTTGGGGAGGAGAGTTTGTTTCACCTTCCAGCTTACCTGCGTGAAGGGAAGTCGGCACAGGGACCTGGGATTAAACTCGAAACCATGGCGAAATGCTGCTTACTGGCATGTTCCTCATGGTTTGCCCTGCTTGCTTTCCCGTAACTCCCCACAGGTGGCGCTGCACAGTCATGTGGGCCCTCCCATGTCAATCATCAACCAAGGAAATGTCCCGAGACTTGCCCACAGGCCAAGTTCTGATGGGGACATTTGCTCAGCTGAGGTCCTCTCTTCCCAAATGACTCTAACTGTACCAGGTTGACAAAACTAAGCAGCTCATACCAGATGCCTGGGATGTATTTGGGTGTGCCCCTTCCCCCACAGAGGTCCTGGTGATAGCAGTGCTATTGCTCCGGCTTCTGGCCTGCATCTTTGATCACATGAGCACATACTGTTGCAGGACATGTGTGACTAGTGTCTCTCTCACTCCCAGTCCCCGAGAAGGGAATCCAGGAGAAGCAGCAAGCTCTCAGGTCAATGACAGACTAGGGTCTACAAGGTCAAATGCTGGGCTGCAGATGGGTGAACAGCAGAGTGTGTGGTTTTCAGCAGCTTCTCCATTCCACTGCTCCCAGCCTCTCAGCCCGAGAGGTCTTCTAAAGCAATTCTCAACCTCACTTTCAGATCAACGGGTCTGGGAATGGTGTCTCTGTCTTGGGCAGCTGGGGCCATCTCGTCGCTGGCCATCTTCAAACAGATCCAATCCCAGCTGCCCATCTTCTTCTGCTGTCTTTCCTGTGTCTTGGCCTTGTGCTTCTTCTCTCTGGTGCCAGAAACAGAGAACCAGCCTCTTCGTGACAGCATAGAGTACAGTTCAAGGTAGACGTGCAGTGACTCCTTGTCTCACGCTCTGGGCATTTAGAGTACGCCAGACACTGTCCCATCCTGATGACAAGAGGGCCTGTGGCGTGAGGGTTTCCCTCTTCAAAGCTGTCTCCCCACATGCCTGGGTCCAGCTTAGGCTTCGCCAGCTCTGTCCCTCCGCTTGGCTTTCCTTGCCTATAGAGCCTATCTTTGTCCTGCCTTGTATGCCTATCTGGACTGAGGCATTGTCCCTGGAGATGAGAAAACTGAGGTAAATTCATGCAGTAGTAGATTGCCTTCTCCCAAAGGGTTTTTGAGAAGATTAAGCCCACACTGTAAGAGGTCCAGCATGTGGCATTATGTGGGAAAAGCTAGTGACAGAGATGGTGGGACACACTCCAAAGTTACAGGAAAGAGAGGGGTTGGGAAACGGAGTCAGTCTGATCCTGAAGCCAGGGCTCCTCCTGGACCCATGACCAAGCTTTGCTGGGCAACTAGAACAGCAGGAAGGGTCCCCCTGTCTCGGAAGAAGTCACGATTGAAGGCATCTCCTGATTTTTCTCAGCACCCACAAGGATTCTGTCGAACTCAAGAAAAGAAGCAAGGATGTTGGCACAGTGATGCTCTCTGACTGGTCCATGTCTGATATGTGCGATGTGGTAAAGGATACTGCCGTCAACACGACGACTCCAGAATCAGAAGCAGGTTCTTCAACACAGCCTTTGAAAAACTCAGCCTCAGGGAATTGCCCTGTCCAGCAACCTGAGGACCAGGTTCCCTAAAACATTTTGGATTGGAGTCTAGTGAGTGAGTGTGGGGCCTCTAATTCTAAACCCAGTCTGGCATGTGGACAGAATCTGTCCTTCTCTAAGGCCCTCCAAAATAGTCCCCTCTGAAGGAGGAGCTAACTTGTCATTCATTCCAATAAAATATCATGTTGGTCTTGATATGGTTAGGTCAAGGGTGGCTGTGTCATGGCAACCAAGAGGCTGCGGCTAGATGGGCATGGGGTGGTGGTCAATACACAAGCAAGGCTTTTCAGGATCTTCAGCTAAATTCTCAGGGATTCTCTGGATGGAGTGGGGGTGGGGTGGGAAATGTCTCTGAGGTCCAGAGATGGAACAAGGGTCCTAATCTTATCTTCTAGCCCAGCTATCAGCTCAAGCCAGACCAAGGACAGAATCATCAGGGTTTAGATGAAAGGTGAAAGATTAATAGGAATTTCTCTCATGATTTGGGGCGTTCCCACTCTTCTCCTTGATATTCCAAATCAGCATGGCTCTGAAGATTACCCATTTCAGGCTTTATGCTGGGAGAGGCCCTCTTGATAGCTCCAGTGAAGCTGACTGCTGACTTCTACCACTCCAAGAAAAAGTCCCTGGGATATTTGGTCAACCTGACACCATATAGACTCATCAGGGAGTGGGTCTCTGGGCATGCCTCCTGGGGTTATCTTCATCAGTCTAGTTGAGGTATATTGTACCATTCCTTGAGTTGGGTCCTGGATTGCACAAAAAGAGGAACATTAGGTGAGAAGTGACCATTGCGTTTCCATCCCTTTCTCTTGTCTTAAGGTCTCCACCATGATAAACTGTAACCCTTTAAGTTGTTTTTGTAATTAAATTATTTTTATCACAGTGAATGGAAAGTAACTTTCCTACTTAGTCAATTTGACACTGCCTAGAGTTGTCTGAAAGGAAAACCTCCATCTGGGAATTGCTTAGATCAGATTGGTCTGTGGGCATGTCCGTGAAGATTGTCTTGATTATGAATTGGTGGAGGAGGGCCCAGTCTCCATGTCACCCCTGGGTACTGGGTGTATGTAAAGCTAAGCTTGAGCCAGGGAGTGAGCCATGCTGGATGGTGACTTAGAAGTATAAGCCAAATAAATCTCTTCTTTATCAAGTTGATTTTGATTGAGAGTCAATGCCTGCTTCATGGTCTACACTCCTGCCCATTTTGGTTGAAGATCATGAATTTTTAAAAAGATTTTATTTATTTATTATGTATACAGTGTTCCGTCTGCATGTACACCTGCAGGCCAGAAGAGGGCAGCAGATCTCATTATAGATGGTTATGAGCCAAGCCACCATGTTCTTGCTGGGAATTGAGCTCAGCACCTCTGGAAGAACAGCCAGTGTTCTTAACCTCTGAGCCATCTCTCCAGCCCCAAGATCATGAACTTTTAAAGAGTAAGCTTTCATATAACTCTAGGAGCTGTGCAATGATTTAAAAAAAAAAAAAAAAAGCCTTCTGTTTTCACGAAGGCAAGACAGGTTTTTACACACCACTGAAGGCAGGACAGGCTCTTAAACAGGTTATTACCCAAGATGTCTTAGTGTAGTCAGTGTATGAACTGATACATTGTCAGTAAGTTCTATCTTCCACAAGTCTCATGATTCTGTGATAGAACAAACAGTATTGAACACGTTCACCAGTGGGCTGACTCTGTGTGTCCATGGACACAAGGAGTGCTGCAGACACCTGTGGATGCCAGAGCTCATTTTCCTTGTCACTGGCTACTGGATCTGTGGACTCATCTCATAGGTACTTTTTAGGGCCTGGTATATATCTACTACTTCCAAGGTGTTAGCCCAAAAGTTACCCCAGCTTCTCCTAAACTGTCACCTTCCCATCCTACTCCTTACACAAGATGCTGCTGACAAACGATCAAAGAAGACGAGGTCATGTCGGAACACTGCTGGACTTACCGTGAGTGCTAAGACCCCAGAACTTGGCATCCCCACTAAAGATGCCCTGAGCTATATTCTTGTCTTGGAAGAAGCCAGGGCAGAATCTAGTCATAGAAATCATCAAAACAGTACACACTCATGGAGCTTCCTAGAGAAAATGAACTTGCAAGCAAAAATTACTGCGAAGGTGAAAAAAGAAAAAAGAAGAAGAGAACAAGCAAGAAATAGAGAGTTGAGTCTCAGTGAAGCAATGATGAACCTTCCTAAAAGGGAAAATAGAATATAGTGTTACAAAGAGACAGAGCAGAAACTAGGATAGGATTAAACAGGGAGGTAGATGAAAAAGAAGGGTAAAGGAGGGAATGTGGGTAGGAACAGCTAACAGGGCATTTAAAAAACTATGTAGACACTTAGTACAGTAGAAGCTTCCTAAAATGCGTAAGTGGAAGCAAACCTTTTACACCACCAAATAAAACTTCCAATACCAGGAAGTGGCTACATCTTGCGAGTTGTTGGCCAAAGGGACCCCATGGAAACGTTAAATACCACAGGCTATTGCCAAGGCTATTTCTTACTCTTAGTAACCTGATGGATAAGACACTAAGACAAGCTTTACTTAGTCATTGAACACGGGGAAGCTGAGCTGATGCCCAGCTAGAAGCTTCCTCCCTGCTAGTGTTCATGGTGCTGGAAAATACTCTGAACGTTACCAGAGTAGAAAAGTCTCATCAAACTTCCACCTACAAACCCTAAAACTTACAAGAGCAACCTCCCTGCTAGTGCACAGTGGTAAGATCATTCTAGAAGTTACCAACCACTCTCTTGATTGGATTCAAGGTCCATGAACTGGAGCCCAGAACTGACACTGCTAATGTGGCCAAGAATCAGACTAGATAAGTCACGAGCCTAAGAAAAACCTAATACTATTATTCTACTAAAGGAAATTGCAATAAAATAACTCACAATGGCATATTGGTATATCACATAGATCCGTGTCTCACTCAGCCCTCATCAGAGAGGCCTTTTCTCAGGAACAGAATTAACACAGAGATCCACACCTCGACAGTGTGCAGAGGGTGAGACTTTTGAACACTCAGTCCTAAATGAGATGCTTTCATTAAACCCCTTCCCCTTAAGGCTAAGGGGCCTAAGCTGAAGAGGAGGTAGAAATATAAGAGCCAGAGGTTACATACAGATGTCTCCAGGGAACCCACATCCTCCAGATACAACAGGACCGATGCTTACATGAACGCAGACCATGGCAACAAGCACCAGACCTGGACAGGTTAAGACACAAAAGGTGAATGGAGTTAATCTGAGCTGCCACCCTAACTAATAAGCCCCCTAACCAACAAAGGGAAAATCAGTTTTCTTCAGCAGAATCTCATTTGGGTATACCAGCTTCACTTCAGGGCAGATCTTAGGCCCTGAAGTACTTGGCCAGCACAAAATGGACTCAGCAGTATTTGGACTTTTGGTTTCATAATTTTGTCATGTCATTTTTTTTTTCTTATTGGTCTTTTGCTTTTTTGTGTGTGGGTTTTGTGTGTTTCTTGCTTTTGCTTCTTCGTGTCTTGTTTGCTTTGTTTTTTGAAATAGAAAGAACAACATAAAATTGAGCAGGTAAGGAAGTGGGGAGGATGGGGGGGAATTGAGAAAGGGGAAAAACAATCAGAATATGTTGTATTAATTTTTTTCGATTAAGGAATTTCATTAGAAATATTCAAAGTGGGGACTGGAGAGATGGCTCAGAGGTTAAGAATACTCGCTGTTCTTCCAAAGGTCCTGAGTTCAATTCCTAGCAACTACATGGTGGCTCACAACCATCTATAGTAAGATCTGGTGTGCAGGCAGAATGTTGTATAAGTAGTAAATAAATCTTTAAAAAAATAAAAGAAGAAAGCTATTCAAAGTGAAATGATGTGACATGGGTGTCTGTTGCCTGCCTTTAGGACCCTTTCTTCCTACTGGGCTGCCTCATCTGGCCTTAACAGGAAGGAAGGTACCATTAGCAACTTGATATGCTGTGGCTGGGGATATCCAGGCAAGACCTGCTCCTTTCTCAAGAGAAATGGAGGAGGAGTGGATGGGATGGAGATGAGGGGGGTCCTGGGAGCAAGGGAGAGAGGAGAAACTCTAGTTGGGATTAAAAAAAAAAAAGACACAGGCTTAGAAAGGGACACCTATAAGTCCTAGAAATGTACACTGCAGAGACTTAAATAACCATGAAAGCAGCCAACACAGCCAGGGGAAAGGAGACTGTCTGAACACACTTTAGGGGTTGTCTCTTCTACAATACAGAATGATCCCTCTATATTTTTATCTCTGATATTATTTTATATCGTTCAGAATTTCAAATTGAAGAGTAACATAGCATGCCTATAATCTCAGCACATGGAGAGTGGATGCAGGAAGCTATGACCCGATGTGAACCGCATTCCAGGCCAGCCTAGGCTATAGAATGCAGCGGACCCTGTCCATAAAATAGAAAAGAACTGTACGTCATGCTTGCGTAGCTTGGTGTTCTTGTGGGACTCTTAACAGTGGGACTGGGGGCTGTCTCGGACTCCCTTGTCTGTTTTGGGGACCATTTTCCTCCTACTGTACTGTCCTTGTCCAGCCTTAGTCTTATGCATCTTGATAAGCCATGTTTGGTTGGCATTCCTGGGAGGCCCACTCTTCTCTGAAGGGAAATGGAGGAGTAGTAATCTTGGGGAGAGGGAGGTCAGGGGCAGGGACTGGGAGAACAGGAGGGAGGGGAAGCCAGTCAGAATGTAATCTATGAGAGAAGAATTAATAAAACATAATAAAATTATATATACAATTAAAAAGTAAGCTAAAACGGTAAATATAAAATTAAACTAAAAATTCTGAAAGAGGTATAGGGCTCACTGGGAACTCCATAAGTCACTGAGCATGTACTCCTGGAAAGGACTAAGGTGTCTCTGGGGCAACTCTAGCTGGTTATAAAAGAAGCAGGATGGCCACACTGCAGCACATCTTTGCTCATTCTCCATCAGGTGAGTAACATTTCAAGGCTCAAGTTTCTGAGATGTGTTTGGACATAGAAGCTGTGCAGAGAGAGAAGG